CTCACCCCCCACCCCCGAAGATGCCCCAACGCCTCAGATCACTTCACTGCACCTGGCTAAGAAACAGTCCAACGCGTCGCTCGCCGGAGAGAGTGAGGATGATGACAGTGAGAGTGGGGGGGAGGGGATCTTCAGAGAGAGGGATGAATTTGTGGTGCGCACTGAAGATATTGGTACTCTTAAGGTAAAAATCCCCCTGTTTTTATTATTTTATTTTTTTTAAGTAGTATTCTATGAGTAGAATTAATATGTAGATTTTTGCAGGGATAGTTCACCCAAAAATGATAATTCTGTCATTGCTCACCTTCATGTCATTTTAGTCTTATATGACTCAATTTCTTCTGTGGAACATACAAGAAGATAATTTGAAGAATGCTGGTAACCAAACAGTTTCGATTCCCTTTGATTTCTATATTATAGTCCAAAATTCTAATGGAAGGCAAAGGGAACCAAAACTCTTTGGTTACCAACATTCTTTAAATTGTCTTATTTTGCGTTACGCATAAGAAAGAATGTCATACATGGAACCACATGAAGGTGAGTAATGGATGACAGAATTATAATTTTTGGATGCACTACCCTTTTAATAATTGAAGTCGCAATTAAACGGAAATAGCGACAGATCTTTTCTTCCATAGTGCAACGTACATACAAGTGAAACAGATTGACAGAAAAGAAAAAAATTATGGCAGGGACTTTATTCTGTCTATGTCAGGGGTCTACAACCCTGCTTCTGGAGAGCTACTGTCCAGCAGAGTTCAGCTCCAACCTCAATCAAATACACCTGAACCTGCTAATCAAATTGTTCAGGGTTACTCGAAAATTATAGACAGGCGTGTTGAAACATGGTTGGAGCTGAGGTCTGCAGAACGGTAGCTCTCCAGGAGCAGGGTTGGAGATCAATGGTTTGTCGCTTGTTTGAATTCTGAGATGTAGGTGTTACAGTGAAAAATTCACGCTTAGATTTGATTGTGGAAGGGCAGGGTTTAAGCAGAATAAATGATTGGAAAAATCTGGTATACATCACCAGTCTGTTGTTTCTGTAGAAGGTCCAGTTGTGTCAAAAAATGAAGCATGTGCATGGATGAATCGTTCGCAATAAGATCCACAACATGCATTTACAAAATAGATGAATGAATTTTTATTTAATGCCAATTTAACTAGATGCTCAATTCACATGGCTTTTCTCAGCTGGCGCTGCAGACCGGACGAGAGCCTCCTCCAATCTGGAGGGTCCAGAAAGCTCTGCTGCAGAAGTTTGCTCCTGAAATCAAAGATGGACAGCGGCAGTTTTGTGCTACAAGTAATGTGAGTGTGTTTTTGTATTTGGTAAGAATTAATATCATGCATTGGATGGCTTGCATGAAATTGTAACACTACACCACCTCCTTAAACTCATGCTATCTGTCCTCTGTCACTCTTTGGCAGTATTTGGGCTACTTTGGAGATGCAAAGATGCGTTATCAGCGTTTATATGTCAAATTCTTGGAGAATGTGAATAAAAAGGATTATGTCCGAGTGTGCTCGCGGAAACCCTGGCATCGGCCCAGTCTCACACTGAGGTAATTTCACCCTAAATGCACTTCTGGAGCTACTGTGGTCCTCAGGTCCTGTGCTATATTGCCGTTAATACAGTAGTTACTGTCAATCAAAGAGTTCTGTGATCATTTACTCACCCTCATGCTTTTAAAACCTAAATGCTGTTGCTTTTTCAGTGGAGCGCAGAATTTTTGAAGAATCTTCAAACAGCTTGTTTCATAAAACGGTTCACAGTGTGTCAAAAATTAAAACAAGAAAACAAAACACTAAAAAAGCACCAGAAATGTAGTCCATCTGCATAAGCGATATTCAAAGTCACCTGCATTCATACAATAGGTTTGTGTGAGAAAGCAGCACAATCTAAGTATTTATTCATTAATAATCTTTCAACTGCTTGCAGCTCTGTAATAAAATACTGACATTGTGATAATTGATCTTGAGATATGCGAAAGCTAAGGACATTTGATGTCCAACCTGTGGCTTAGACTTAAAGCATAACAGAATTTGTTTTCCACAGAAAAAAACAGTATACAGGTTTAAAATTTTACGAGGCTGAGTAAATAATGAGGAATTTTAATTTCAGGTGAACTGTCAATTTTATCAGTATATTGTCGTTGCTAAGATGAATGTCTTTCCTTTCTACCAGACGCCAGTCACTTCCTAAGCCACAACCTGTACGTAGCTTGACTCCACCTCGCATGGAACGAGAGGATAGAGAGAAAGAGAGAGAGAGACAACGGGAACAAAGGGAAAAAGAAAAGGAGAAAGAGAGAGAAAGAGAAAAGGAAAGGGAGCGAGAACGAGAGAGGGAACAGATCGAGAAATCTAGGAGAGAAAAGGAGAGAGAACTTGAAAAGCAAAAAGGGAGGGAGAAACAAAAAGAAAGGGAAAGAGAGAAGGAAAGGGAAAAACAAAGAGAGAAAGAAAAGGAAAAGGAAAAACAAAAGGAGAGAGAGAGGCAAAGAGAAAAGGAGAAAGAGAAGGACAGGGAAAAACAACGAGAGAAGGAGAGGGAGAAAGAGCGAGAGAAGGAAAAGAAGCTCCAAGAGCGACAAACTCAAGAGAAGCTGGAGAGGAGAACGGCCGTTGTGGAGCGCGGGAGGGTCAAAGAGGAGAAAAGAGATGGAGAGAAGAGGGTCGACAGGACGAGGAGCAGACCTGTGAAAGTAAAGGCAGAACCTCCACCTAAAAAGAGGAAGAAGTGGCTTAAAGAAATGCCCTCTTCATCTGATTCAGTCTCCTCCCCTGACCCGCCCAGTGAGGAGGAAGGTGCATATGGCTTGGTTATGTGTGTGCAATATACTTTGTGTGTGGTTTTGCAATATTATGCAAAGCTATCATCAGCTTCATTCAGTGTAACTTCAGTTTGGGGTAGCAAGATTTTTAAATGTTTTCGAAAGAAGTTTCGGTAACACTTTCTCCCTTATAATGTATTATAAATACAGGCTTCATAGAAAGTGTTACCGAAGTTTCTTATCCATTTATTTGATCACAAATACAGAAAAAACATTAATAATATGAATCGTTGCATGTAAAAAAAAAAGTATTGTAATATATTTTCAAATGTAATCTATTTGTGTGATGGCAAAGCTGAATTTTCAGCATTTTCCTTCAAAAAGATTGTTGGTGCTCAAAAGACATTTCTTGATATTTTTGTGGAAACCATGCTAATTTTTTTTCAAGATTTTTGATGAATAGAAGGTAAAAAAAAGTAACTGTCACAACACTGCCACATTTGAAAATGTATTACATCCTCGCTGAATAAAAGAATTCTGTTCTTTCAAAAAAATTTAAATAAAATCTTACGGACCACAAACTTCTGAATGGTGGTACCATAGTTTGAAGTCCTGTGTTAAAACCATGATTTGTAAATATGATAATCTTTCAGTACCACTATATATATATATATATATTACTTTAGGGCTGCATGATTAATCGAATGCGATTGTTATGCGCATTTTGTTAGTAAAGTTGGTTCTGTAATCAGCAGTAAATCGTGTGTTTATTAGTCACGTTGAATCAATAAAGGCAGTTAAATCTTCTGTTTATCCAGCTACCGCTATAGGCGTTTCCTGGGTTTCTTCTGCAAGGCGTATTTGGAGTTTCAGCGCGAGAGCGCCCTCTGTCCTTTGGATGGAGATTTACTGCTGATCACAGAACCGTGCTTTACTGAAAGATATGCATGACAATAGCAGCTTCTGTCGAATCGCGATTTCGATTCCATTTTGATTTATCGTGCAGCCCTACTTTTTAGTACCATTCAGTATTTTACAGTAGTTCCAACACAGTATTTCTATATAAGGTTTGTCATGGCACTCAAAAAAACTCAAAACCTGCATACTAGTAACGGCAAACTACTGTTCAATTTTACATATTGTAAAAATTGTATTGCTACAACCTGTCTATAAACCAGCACACTGTATGAGATGATGGACACTGAATTTAGTTCATTTTGCATTTCTTGTTTCGTGGAGCCAAAACTAAGTTGTTGAAGTGTGTGTGAGAGTACTGTATTTTCTGGTGTGTGCCTTCTGTTTTTTCATGTGTTTTGCATCTGTATCCTCAGTATCCACACGGAGTGGGATGAACAGTCGGGCCATGAGAGAGATGTTCCGCAGTTATGTAGAGATGCTGGTCAGCACTGCTCTGGACCCGGACATGATCCAAGCTCTTGAGGACACCAACGGTGAGCGCACATCGTTAGGTTAAACACAAAGTGCATGTACGGAGGATAAGGGAGAGAAGGATGGAGAGAATAATGAAAGGAGTTTAATAAAGCAAAGGAGGCTGGAAGAATAATGACAAGCAAAAGATGCTTATGCCCCATTCACACGGGGCGTCAGCGTCAACGCCTCTCGTTTACTTTGAATGGAGTGACGTCAAGCGTTGGCGAAATGAATTGTGGGTCCGTCGCGTCGCGTTGGGTCCGTTGCTCGTGGCAGAAGTTGAAAACTTTTCAACTTTTCAAGCGCCAACGCAGGCGTCAGCCAATCAGATGACCTTATGCAAATACCCTAGCGCAGACGCTAGCCAATCGCGTTCATGCAACACCAGAAGACTAATGTGATTGACTGTTGTCACTATGACGGTCGCGGCAGCACCAAGCTTCAGAAACGCCCTCCGTCAAGCGAATGGGGCGTTAGAAAGGAGGAGTGGAATGTTACAGTGACTAATGAAGGCTGTTAATTTAAGTTTAATTAAATTAGGTTTTTAGGCCACTGATGTCATCTTTCCAAGCCTAAATGCAAAGATATCTGAAAAACTAACAAATTGTATCAGTGATTAAACCTGTGCCTATAGATACAGTTGCAAAAATCATCTAACACTATTTTAAACAGCAGTTTGCTAATTCTTTTGCTAGTTAAATCTTACTGTTCAAAAGTTACAATTTTTTGGAGAAATTAATACTTTTATTCAGCAAAAATGCAGCTAATTGATCAAAAGTAAATGTTATATAGTTATACTGCTGCTGCAAGCAAGTACAGGAACTTGCTACTGCCAATGTATACGGTGATACGGTGCCATGAGTATTTAAGACATACTGCTGCTGCACAAATAGCATATAAAATAACCCGTAGCAGATCTATACAGGTGGAGCTGGGGAAGGTGGAGGGTTTCAGAGAAACTCTGAAAGCGCAATGCAGGAATCTCAAGTGCCGTGAGTATTTAAGACATGCTGCTGCTGCACAAATAGCATATAAAATAACCCGTAGCAGATCTATACAGGTGGAGCTGGGGAAGGTGGAGGGTTTCAGAGAAACTCTGAAAGCGCAATGCAGGAATCTCAAGTGAATGCTAGCCAGCCATATAAATGCAAGGCAGTAAGCTCATTGGCTGCATATGCAGCATGAACCAATCAGCTTGTGCCAAGTCGTGAATATCATCAGTTACGTTAACAACCCGTCAGCCTGCGCCTTCTAGAGTTTCATGACTGAACTATATATTTAAGTTATTTATCACATTGCAGGACCATTTAAAATGAACTAGTGAAAAACGTAAGATGCATATATTCTATAATCATTTAAACATGAATCTTAAGTAATGGTGTTTTTTAATTTAATTACTCAATACCAGTGCATTACCACTGGCTCTTCCCCTTTTGTCCTCAGATGAGCTTTATCTCCCACCCATGAGAAAGATTGACAGTATCCTCAACGAACAGAAACGAAGGCTGTTAAGAAGGGTCAACATGAGTGTACAGCATCAGGTGACACTGGCTTTCAGTGATACACAAATGCATTCCTCTGGAGTACTCTAGACGTCTTGATTTGTGTTTTCTGAGGAACATGTCTGGCAGTCTCTCACTCTCCTTCCTTTCCCATTCTGTAGGAGGCACTGCACATGTTCCCTCAAATGACAGCAGACCCCCTAGACTCTGGAGCGGTTAAAGTGCACCTGGGTGGAGAGAGTTACAACCGCAAAACCCTCAACAGAGTCAAAAGGAGCCTTCCCAAACAGCAGGCATGTTGTATACACAATTGTTTCTCACATAATTAAGCCATTTAGTAAGAAACCGCAAGAAGTATTTGGGCACTTTAGTCATACCTAAAAATATTAATGTTGTTGAATTAAAGGGGTATAACGATGCATCAATCAAATGATATATCAATGCAGTGCATAAAAATCTCTATATATTTTTATAAATGAATAAGATACACTAGATGACTTGTTTGACTGTGAAACTATGGTTGCATTTTTGAGTTAATAAAAATGTAACTGGTTGTGTAAAATAATATCGGTGTATCAATCATAGACCCCTAAATCTAATCAAATTGTAATTGTATCGCAGCATGTTTTGAGATATCGGCAAATATTGTATTGCTGGGTAAGAGAATTGATTTCAAATTGTATCATGACGAAACTTTACTTCCTCTATTGCATTAAATGACAAAATAAAAAACAACAGTCATTTATTTTAAAGAAATGAGAGTACAAGCTCAATTTTAATTTTTTTTCTCTCTTTTAAATCATGGTTTTTAAATGTTAGTTGATTAAATGTCATTGTTGTGATGAATTAAACCTGTGATTTCTGGACCATTTGATTAAGTATCATTGCAAAAATGGCTAAAAAGCACCATTTGTTTGCAGATGCCAATTGATTTGATGTTTTGTTATATAATGCAATGAAGATATTTTGAAAAATGTTTTAAATATTTTTGTCCCTATAATAAAAGTCAGTTGCGTCCAGAACAACATTGGACCCCTTTGACTTTCCTTTTCATTTTTCAGAATATGTTCTTTTGTTTTCCAAACATGAAAGAAAGTCATACAGGTTATTTGGTGAACTGCCCCTTTAAGTGTCCAAAAGCTTTTTGTGGTCATTGAATTCCAATAATACATCTGTCTTGAAATCTCTGAGCTCTCTTTCTTCACTTGTAAGCCCATCTCTCTCTGCTTGCCAGGACCTGAAGCTGTCAACAGAGACTTGTCGAATATACAGTCTCTATCACTCTCTCCATCACTACAAATATCACACATTTCTGCACTGTAAAAAAGAGGTATGAGGAAATATGAGCTTATTTGAGAAATGCAACACTGTATCCGTGTATTAGCCTTAAAAACCCTCGCCTCTCTTTCTCCCTCCTCAGACGGACAGCATAGAGCAGGCAGCGGAGGAGGATCCAGGTCAGGAGGAGGTGGTTCAGCAGTGCATGGCCAACCAGGGCTGGCTAGAGACTCTGTTCAATTCCTTCATTGAACTGCTGACGCTCAGCACCAAGGCTTAAGATTCAGCTGTCGACGTTCCAAGCACGTCCTATTTGGAGAAGGGAGAAACTCCTCTTTCTCAAACAAAGCCGGTGCACCTCCAGGTTGCAGGAAAATTAGATTTTCCTTTGCAGAATGTGTAAGAGCCACTGGCGGTTTAAGCTGTTGCATTTTAACATAAAAATGTTTTTGTAAAGCTTTCATTCCTCTCTCTTTCATTATGTGTCAGCTCCCTGCAACGGGAGCCACAGGGAGACGGTATGAAAACAAAAAAAAAAAAAGAGCGAGAATGTGTAAAGACAGTTGTCTGCACAGAGACGAATAAAGATAGTGCCAAAGGGAACAGGGTTGAAAACCTCACTGGTCAGCAATGTTTTGGCAGAGGTGAGCTTTGAATGCTATGTTCCATGCACACTCTTATATATAAATATGTATTATGAACAATTATGATTTGTATTATTTATACATTGACATTTATACATGGTTACCTCCCAAAGCTGAGGCGGTTTGCTGTTATTATTTTGAATAATAATGTTCATGTTTTATGAGAGTGTACATGAAATGGGCCACCCGTAACCCCCTATTCTTCCTGTCCCCTAAACTGAAGGACAAGGTGGACAAAAGAGCGGGGTCAAAGCAGTGTGTAGTAAATTTTTTGTCAAAAAATAGAGCAAAAGAAAAATGTATTTAAAATAAAAAAAAAAATCTTTCTGTTCTTTAAAAGAAAATGCTGGAAAAGAGGTGTATTTGTTCGTTTTCTCAAAGAAAACACGACGGTGCAGAGGGATGTAATAGTTTTAAAGTGTGCAAAATGTCTGTGTTTACTGTTTGTTTTTTATCTGCTTGTTGTTTACTATGATAATTATTGTTATTATTATTATTATTATGGAGGTTTGCTTATTTCTCTCTTCTGTAAATATTGTACAGTTGCTTCAGTCTCTCTCTACCTGTCCCTCATCTGTACATGAATCCTCCTGTATTTGACAAACGCAAATAAAAGAAAAGAAAAATGAGTTTATGAAAATGATGCATTTTCACACAAGACTGCCTTGGAAATTTTTTTTTTTCGTTTTATTTGTTCTAGACATACTTGCTGGTATTTTGCACGGGCTTTATACGGGTAGGAATGATATCTTGGAGGGAAATACATTGGAAATCAAGCAGTACAGTCAAAAAATAACCTGCTCTAAATATTGTACTTAGGTTCAAAGTTTACTAACCATTTTGTAAATGAAAACGTTTCTCTGAGGATGTATTTTTATTCAGCGTTCTCGGTGCAGAGCGTTAGATTGATCCATGGCAGTTCTCTTCAAGGTAAACGTTCCACTCCTGCTAGAGCGCGAAAAAAGAACTGCGTTTCCTGTTGTTACCATGGTAACATAGCCATGGCAACACCAGCAGCATTTTCCAGGAGTGTTTGTCTGTCTTTGGTGTGATGGCTGTCTCTCTTTGTCTCTTTCTTTCTCCTTTGCTTCTTAGTAGCTTCCTATTTTACGGTTTCTAGCTCATCGTGACTCACAAGAGTTATTACAAAGAAATGACATTCTCAGCTATTTTGTGTAGCCTACATTATAAATTATTTCTTGCCTGCCTTATTTTTTTTCTTCACACATCATACAGAGCTTCGTTTATTCTGTTTTCTGTCTCAATAGAATTTCCTTTTACATACACCAACTGATTAAATGAAACAATAGATTATTTCCTTATAAGTTACATGATTTTTAGTTGCGCTATTATTAATATTGTTTCAGCGCTATCAGTCATTAGTATAAAATATCTTGCACCTGTCTTTCATTACTGCTCTGTTTCACTATCATCTTCCTCCTCTTCTTCCTCCTCCTCCTGCACAGCGCTGTGCCTCGTCTGGCCACAAAGCGGCGCCATTTTGCCGTCCGTTGTCACTCCCATTGGCTGAATGATTTTGTTCCTGAGCGGGTGTGGTGGAAGGATAATAATGATGAAACAAAAAAATATTAAGGCTGCTGTATATTATAAGGGGATCACCTATTCACTACACATACGTTTTGAACAGAAAATCAGTGATGATTTTACCACATTTCTGGTGGAATATCTCTGACACACACATACCGTGAGAGTTTGTTGAACATATTTATGAGTCTGAGCGCCTCTGCCTCTTTCTCTTCTTCAGTCATTCGTTCCATTGGATCAGGCTGTTCCTCCTCCACCCGTCCCGTCACAGGGTTAATCCTGTCCTTGGCCTGTCTGTACTCCTCCGTGTCTGAGTCAGAGTCACTGGAGTACTGCGGTTGAGGAGAGTGGCCGCGGCCGTTCAAAAGACCCCGTGCTGCCAGCAGCCCCGCTGCATTACCGTAACCAGTGTACTTCACAAACCTGCTCACTGGGAGAGAAAGAGTTCATGAATACCATACCGACAACACTGTTTTAAATGTCACAGAAAGGTGTATTGTGAATAGAGTACTGCAGTGATGACATTTTTGTAGGCCAAAACCCGGAAATGAATTAGCATTTTATCACTTCTGGTTCCATTGTCATGAAGGCAATGGGCCTGAAATATTTCTCAAGATCTTTTAATGTTTTTACGGGGGCCTAATGGTTAGAGAGTTGGACTTGTAACCCGAAGGCTGCGGGTTCAAGTCTCAGGTCCAGCAGGAATTGTAGGTGGGGGGAGTGAATAACCAGCGCTCTCTTCCACCCTCAATACCACGACTGAGATGAGACCTTTGAGCAAGGCACCGAACCCCCAACTGCTCCCCGGGCGCTGCAGCAATATGGCTGCCCACTGCTCCGGGTGTGTGTTCACTTGGATGGGTTAAATGCAGAGCACAAATTCCGAGTATGGGTCGCCACACGTTACTTCACTTTTTAATGATCTACAATACATCAGTAATACCCCTTGTGATTTTTTAAAAGCAGTTGCTAGCATGTGGCTAAATGGAACTACAGAGGTTGTGAAAGTGAAAGTGACGTGACATGTGGCCAAGTATGGTTACCCATACTAGGAATTAGTGCTCTGCATTTATCCCATCCTAAGTGAACACACACCCGGAGCAGTGGAGGACAGGGACATTAAACATCATCACAACCAAATGGACATCACAGGTTCATCTACTCACTAGTCTGCTTTTACAGCCTTAGTGTATTTATAATAGCAATCTTGCAAACTATTTTAACTCAGACTTTAAGGAAAAATGTTTTTAAATAAAGATTGAAAGAGTTTTCCAAAACAGTGGTGGTGACATTAATGTCATGCAACCTTGGTGTAGTTTGTATATAGGCTACATTTAGCTTTTACTTCTGGCGATTGTATTTAGGCTTTAAAATGCATAAAAGCTGTGTTCATTTGTGTCGATTATCATGATGAACAAAACATGTAAGAATCATAAAAAGAGCTTATTTTCTGCAATAAACCACTTGAAAAATCATGTTTGGTTTTTGTCAAGGGTAGCAGGGTGCTGTTAACCTCTGGGTTGGCCTACAAAAATACTTCACCCCAGCAGCACTTGCATATTCATACCATGATACATGAATATGACAATCATTCGGTATCATGGTATGTATAAAGTATGAATGTCAGTGCACTTTACATGATTCAGTAGATGCATCTATGTACCATTTTCTTTACAGAGCACAAAGAGAAGCTCAGCCGCACAGTGTTTGATATCAGTGTCGACATGGGTCATTAGTCGCACTAGTTTGCTCCTCAGTGTGTTCCCCTGTTCAGGCCTTATCTCAGCGTCTCTCAGTGGAGGCAGGATCTGTTCAAAAATAGCACAGGATCAGGCTCCTGGTGCACAGCCATGAGAATAACAAGTATATGTTGAGTCAAACTTAATGTTTCAAGTTTATAGAGTGCTCCAAAAGTAACACCTATACTCACACCAAGGATGATAACTATAAGGATAACAATAACTATAAAGTTTTTAGTAATCGTTCTAATTCTATGAGTCCATACCACAGCTATAACGATAACGGCACAGAGGGAAAATGTAGTTAAAATCACTTTCAGAATGAATTATCCAGCTGATATATAATAAAAACCTTGACAGCCAAACAGACAACATAACTGCAGCATGTTCTTAGTTGAACGCTAATGTAATTATTGCTATAGTTATCTTTATAGTTATCGTTCTTGGTTTGAACAGTTTAAAACACTGAAATGGTGAAAATGTTTTAAAAAAGGTATTTTGAGGTATTGTACCTGCTGTCTGAGATAGTGCCTAGTTTCCCTGTGTGCTTTGCTGCTCTCAGTCAACAGGTTTAACACTGGAGCCAACTTTTCCTTCAGCTTATAGCCCTGTATAATTCACATTTAAAGACATTACATTTTATAATGAAATACATTGTACAAATGCAAAATACTTAGGCATATAAGTCTTATATATAATAAGAAGACAAACCTCTGGACTTTTAAAAGGCATAGTTCATTTAAAAATTAAAATTCAGTTTTCATTGTTGTTCCAAACCTGTGGACATCCTTTCTTCTGTGGAACACAAAAGAGAATATTTTGAAGAGTGTTGGTAACCAAACAGTTTTGGTTAACATTGACGTCCAGTGTATGGACAAAAACATTTCTCAAAATATCTTCTTATATGTTCCAAGGAAGAAAAAGTTAGATTTGGAACAACATGAAGGTGTGTAAATGATGACAGAATTTTCATTTTGGGGTGAACTAACTCTTTAACATGCATGTCATGGAAACTGAACCCCAGTCTATAAGGTCCCTGGAAATCAAACCCTTAACTTTGGCCTTACAAGTGCCATGTTCTTGAGCTACAGGAACACTAGACAGTTCAGAGCGCTCTTTCTCACTCTGTCCAGTCTCTTCTCCATGAAGAGCAGCAGAGTGTGAACGCAGTCCATGTTGACTCCGCCGGACTCCTTCGAACCTTCAGACAGGCGAACAGATAGCAGAACATCCAGGCACTGCAGAGGGAGCGCTGAGAGCACATTCACTGTGTGTCTGTGGATATTCAGCACAGAAGTGTTATAGAGATCAATAGGACGAGACCTCTCAAGACTCACAGTGGTTTGATTCTTACTCTCACCCTTGCAGCTCCTCTTTTCTATCCTCTCCCTCACAGGGCACAAGCAGACAGTGACGCAGGACTGCAGCTAGGTGACGATACAAATCTGCAGCCTCCTGTGGCAGAAGGAGAACCAAAACATTGACAGTAAAATGAATTTCTTAACAGAGGCCTGTCCTGTTATGGTATGTTTTGGTTCTCCTTCTATACATACACTCATATGTATGTGTGTGTGTGTGTGTGTGTGTGTGAGATCAAATTAAGAATTATTTTCCATGACTTATTCATTCATTCATTCATTCATTCATTAAATCCACCTCATGTCAGGTAAATTTAGGCCACATTGTACGAATTCATTCCCAGTGTTGGCGAGTAACTAGTTACATGTAACAGAATTATGTAATTTAATTACAAAATAAATGTAATTGTAAAAAATGTGTAATTAAATTACAGTAACTTATGAACGATTACAAAGGGGGGTGCATCTGAATATTTTCACACACATACAGATTTGATTGATTTATTTCCCAAATTGCATTGACTGCTCTAAAATATGAGACACCAATGTTTCAGGAGTTTAGGACACAGAAGAGGGCACATGCTTATTTGATAACTGCTTTATTTCCTATTTGGGCTTGTGTATATGCTTTATTTTTTTAATTAACTGTTTTTTTCCCCCCAAGGCATTGTTAGATGCCTGATTATTTGCAAAGCAAAGATTTGATTTCAAAAACAGTATCATAGCTATTAAACTAAATTTTGTTATGATTTTAAATCTGCATTTAACCTCCGAATGACATCAAAGTAAAGAGAGGTGCTAAAGCCTGATTTTGTGGTGGCTGTGCTTTAAAATTAAATTATTATAATATTAATTCAAGTGATGAAGGATTTTGAAAGTCTGACAATAATCAGTGTTGAGTGCTACTGTAAGGTTAACCCTGTCTGCTTTAAATTTTTTAAAATGGTTAACAGTTTAGAAAAATGTAGAAAGAAAGAAAATGTTTGAATTTTGAAAAGTAATCTAAAAGTAATCATTTACATTACATTAACAAAGTAATTGAAATACTTATTACATTTGAAATAGGGTAACTTGTCATCTGTAACCTACTACATTTCCAAAGTAACCTTCCCAACACTCATTTTGGTTTTTTTAAATTGTGGCCACGAATCATGAAAATCTTGTTTTTATCTCCCTGCATGACATGTACAGGGCTCTGTGCTTTTCATGTTTAACTAACAGTTTTATTGACACCATCCTCCAGAAAGTGATATCATTTTTGGGGTTGGAACACAGCATCAGTTAGTATTAGCATTCGATTAATATGTGATGATATGTGAAGTTTTGTGCTGTTTGATGGTTTGTTCAATTCCATTCTGTTCATAAAAAAATTACAGTTATCTTTATGTTTGATCATCCGTAATATAGAAATTTCAGAAAAAGGTTAAAAATATATCAAAATAAACAATGGCTTAGCTCCTTAGCTCTTTATGTCCATCTTGTTAATAATTCTGTAATTCTGTAACACTGTGTAAATAGAGTTAATGATGGAATGACCCAGCTGCGGTCATTAGGGGTTAAAGAAAAGCAGCATTTACCTCATCTACTTCCTGTCTGTGCACACTGTAGGTAATGCTGAACAGGGTCTTGAGAATCTCAAGGGCGTGCTGA